ATTGCGAGTTCCTTCAATAATCTCAATCTTTTTTTCTTTTGAAAAATACGACAACTTTTAATATCGTTATCGTTTTAAAATTTCAAAATATCTTCAATTTTTAGTTAAAAAAAAAACCAAATCTAATTTTAATTATTCACAAAAATCGATTATTCATCTCTATTCTCCCAATAGCCACATAAAATAGCTTTATTATTTTGAAAATGATAAATTACGGTCACCAATTAAGATAAGGTCAGATTGTGAAAAAACCCCTCATATGTGGGTAATTTAGTGGAATCTTCTTACTATGAATCTTCTTATAACTGGTCCACCATTGCGGTGTTATTTGTGGAAACTTCTAGATTACATGAATATTATCTAGTTTGTACCCGTTTTATTCTCGTTCGAGCTCTACATTTTGAAACAAAATGATCATAAGATGTGTTTTTTGGCTTGTAAATATCAGATTGTAGTACATCAGAAACTGCATTTTTGTACAAAACGAGTACAAATTAGAGAACATTACAAATTGGATTTTTTGATAATTTGACTTTACCTAAAGAAGTCGGCGTAATTACCCTTATGAAAATGCATTCCATTGATTACGCATATACACTTACTAAGAAAAATACATCTTTTATAGTAGAGACTATTATTTTGTATTATTTTTTTATTTTTTTGTTTTTGACTAAATATATGTTCCAATAATAAATAGACAAGTATATAACATAGATGTATAGGTGGAAAGTGGGAACCTTTTTACCGTATATACGAATGTTTATACATATAACATATCTACTGGTGCATTAGGGTGTATGGGTGACACCTAATCATGTATTCAATACACGTGTAAAGCGGTGGCACAAACACGTGCGAAGTGATTTGTTTAAGGTTTGTACATGTGTCGGGAAACAGTTTGGCTGTTATCAGTTGCCATTTATGGCTACTCAAAAACTATTTTCCTTGTATTAATCTTAATTCATGGATTTACATGTCACCCTTTGGACCAGATTTAATTTGATAGCTGCAACTTTTGACTATACTACTTTTCGTCTTTCTATTAATTCCGATTTATTATATAATTAAGTTAGTAATTTTATTTTACGACGCACGACAGTAGTCAACAAATATTGAAATGATACTGTAATTTAATTTAGTTTACGAAATATATCTTAAATAGTTTGACGAGGTTTAATCTGGGTGTATATGAAAATCTACAATATTACGGTTTGTTTTACTTGGGGAAAAGAGTCAGTTTTTCATCTCTCAAGTTTGTATCGTTTTAAATTAGGTCATTTATGTTCACAAAAACTACATTAATCTCTTATGTTTAAAAGTGCAATATATTCATTTTCGTCAAATTTCCGTTAAAGCTAACAGAATCAAACGTTTGTCCATCAATCACTGCCTTAACTGACGGAGGAGCGGTAAATTAATGGAGATGGCCAAAATTGTTATATTATTGAAACATGGGGATCAAATGTGTTTTTCGTGAATAGGGGACCAAATATGAAATCGGTGCAAACTTGAGGGATGGAAACTATAATGTTCCCGTTTTCTTTCTAACAAATCAACAATCAAATTAAATTTAGGGTTAAATATAAATTGCATACCTGTACTATCACCAGTGTCGCATATACCCGCTTACACTACAAAATGTGACAAAGTGTCCCCTGTCGTCAAGCAATATTAAAGAATCCGTCACTTTGTAAAGTTGATCGACCATTGCAATGGATGTTGGACATTTACAGATGAAAATACCCCTATGATTGTGTACAAAAGGTGTGCCTCTTTTCTTTCTCTCTTGTACTCAATTTACTCCCAATTGTGTCATGTGTCTTCCCGAATTTTATTTTCCACAACCTAAGACTTTCTGAACATAAATTACATTTTGAAAATTATTTATAATTAATTTCCTTTTAAATTTATGAAATTTTGCATTTTTATTCTCAGCCTACAAATTTCATCCAAAATTATGAATTTTTGTTATTCTATATAATATTTTTAAATTCTTTTTAAATTTCTGAAATTTTATAATTTTATTTTCAGCCTATAAATTTTTGACTTAAATTCTTCCCGCAGTTCTCATGCTCAAATCCCATGCATTTCATTTTTTACGTCTAAACACTATATGGCATATTTTACTACTATAACCACGTGTCGATGCAACTGGAGTGCTACGTAAAAAAAATGCCTATTTATATCATATAAATATAAGGATAAAAAAAAAAAATACACTAAGTAAACTAACCGTATTAGAGATTTGAGGATTGTGCGTTCAGTTGAAGGGCCATTTTGTCTCATTTTATAGTAAATAGAGTATATACGGCACTGATAATAATACAAGGGTACAATTCGTATTTAATCCTTCAAATTATTTTCATCTCCGTGGGCTAGCCCCGCAATCAAGTACTACTGATTAACAAACTAACTTGTGATCAACTCCAAATCACATGGTTCGTTACAAGTTTAATTTAACCCTTAAAATATTAATGAAAACAAAAAAACGGAATCTGTTACTAAATAATAAACAACAAGACAAAAATCCATTGTCATAGAAATGAGCAAAATCTCATTTATTTTTTTCCCCACCGCCATGCCGCCTACGTGCATGCCCTTAATAAAATAATAACATAAAATATTATATTATAGCATAAATTACAAAAACACCCCTGAACTTAGGCGAATTAACGAAAAAATCCTCACCTATTCAGAATACCAAAATCTATCGAGATTTGTTTCTGTCTTACACCAACTCCCTTACAATGAGATTTTTGGATTTTTTTTTTTAATTCCAGGGAATAGACTTTACGCAATTTCAGATATTTTCTTTATTTCTCATCTATTTAACAAAAGGTATAATAGACTGTACACATTTTCTGTTAAAAAACTCAATCATCAGTTAATAAAGGGGGATTTTGATTATTACAGATAGATAGGGGTGTTTTTCATTATTTAGCCTAAATCCAGGGAGTTTCGTAATTTACGCTAAATTATATTGCAGATAAGAATAAACAAAAAAAAAAAAGAAAAGATGAAAAAATTGAAGTGGTATTTTTCTCGGTTGTTGGTTTTGCCCTTTCCCTTATCTTTAATTATCCCTTCACCTTCTTTATAAATTGAGGGTGCCTCACATCAACTTTCATTACCATCATTTGTATATTTCTAGAGAGAGAAAGTACATTATTTTCATTTAATAATTATTATTCACACAAAATTTGTTTCACTTCTTACCATGTCTGCATCTTTCTCAGTTCCTTCCATGGTGATCATCTTCATCTTCTTTCTTTTTTTAATTTAGTAATTATTGGTTATAATATGGAATTTTTTAACATTTTTTTGTTTTAAAAAAAAAATTAATTAAACAGATAATGGAGGAAGAAGGGAGATTTGAAGCGGAGGTAGCGAACGTGCAAGCATGGTGGAACACCGAGAGGTTCAAGCTGACGCGCCGCCCGTACTCCGCACGCGATGTGGTGTCCCTACGTGGCAACCTACCCCAGAGCTACGGCTCAAACGAGCTGGCTAAGAAGCTGTGGCGCACGCTGAAAACCCACCAAGCCAACGGGACGGCTTCCAGAACGTTCGGCTCACTGGACCCGGTCCAGGTGACCATGATGGCTAAGCACCTCGACACAATCTACGTGTCGGGCTGGCAGTGCTCGTCAACCCACACGTCGACAAACGAGCCCGGCCCGGATTTGGCGGACTACCCGTACGACACCGTTCCGAACAAGGTCGAGCACCTCTACATGGCGCAGCAGTACCACGACCGGAAGCAGAGGGAGGCGCGTATGAGCATGAGCCGCGAGGAGCGTGCGCGCACGCCCTTCGTCGACTACCTGAAGCCCATCATCGCCGACGGCGACACCGGCTTCGGCGGCGCCACCGCCACGCTCAAGCTCTGCAAGCTGTTCGTCGAGCGCGGCGCCGCCGGCGTCCACATCGAGGACCAGTCCTCCGTGACTAAGAAGTGCGGGCACATGGCCGGAAAAGTGCTCGTCGCCGTCAGCGAGCACATCAACCGCCTCGTCGCCGCCCGACTCCAGTTCGACATAATGGGGGTGGAGACCGTCCTGGTGGCGAGGACGGACGCGGTGGCGGCCACGCTAATCCAGACCAACATCGACGCGCGTGACCACCAGTTCATCCTCGGCGCGACCAACCCGGCGCTGAGGGGGAAGGGGCTGGCGGCGGTGCTTTCGGAAGCCATGGCCGCCGGAAAAACCGGGCCGGAGCTGCAGGCGATTGAGGACAACTGGCTGGCGATGGCGCGTCTGAAGACGTTCTCGGAGTGCGTGGTGGATGCAATCAAGGGTATGAATATCGGCGAGTCCGAGAAACAGAGGAAACTCAGTGAGTGGATGAGTCACTCGAGTTACGATAAGTGCCTCTCGAACGAAAACGGACGCGAAATCGCCGACCGGCTCGGCTTGGCCAATCTCTTCTGGGATTGGGATCTCCCAAGAACCAGAGAAGGCTTCTATAGGTACGATAATATTTACATCGCGTCTGTCTGAACAGTAAATTTGATTAAATAACTTTTGAGTAATCACATATGTGTAGATCTGCTGTTCAAATTCGCCTAGTATAAATAATTTATTGTAGCACGTCTAATAACCTTTAATTCCCAATTATTTTCACATAATTCCCAATTATTTTCACATAGACGCTTTGCTAATGGTTCGTTTGAATTGAATAGGTGTTTAATTAATGATTAATTAAATAATTTAGTATTATTTGATGTTTGATTGATTGGTCTATTTAATAACCTCTCCTAATTATTTTCATACATACATTTTACTAATGTTTTGTTTTAATTACATAGATATGTCATGATTAATTGAACAATTAAATTCTTATAAAAAAAAAACAAAAAAAAATTGAACAATTAAATATTATTTCATTTTTATCGAAAAATTGAGCATGAGATCTTCTCATCGAAATGTAGGGATTTTATTTCTTGTTCTATTTTTTTCCATTTCCGATAGGTTTAAGGTGTTTAATTGCATATTATGTTATATTCGAGTGGTCCATTAACTTCCTGATCTATGAAATTTTGTGTTTCAACGTTGGTATTTGATTTGTTTGTTTTTTTCCACTTTCGACACGCATAGATTTGTTATTTTTCGAACAGGTGCAGTCTCTAATGTGACATGTACACAAACTTATATACTTAAAAATATTTTACTAATAATATTTTGTGTTACCGATATATATATATATATAGGTTTCAAGGATCGGTGAACGCAGCGATCGTCCGTGGATGGGCGTTCGCACCGCACACGGACATAATCTGGATGGAGACATCGAGCCCCGATATAATCGAGTGCACCGATTTCGCACGTGGGGTCAAGTCAACCCAGCCCGAGACGATGCTCGCCTACAATCTCTCCCCATCCTTCAACTGGGACGCTTCCGGAATGTCCGACCAGCAGATGATGGATTTTATTCCTAGGATTGCCAAATTGGGTTACTGCTGGCAGTTTATTACGCTCGCGGGTTTCCATGCGGACGCTTTGATAATCGACACTTTTGCCAAGGATTTCGCGAGGAGGGGAATGTTGGCTTACGTGGAGAAGATTCAGAGGGAGGAGAGGAGCCACGGGGTCGATACGTTGGCTCATCAGAAATGGTCTGGTGCTAATTATTATGACAGGGTTCTTAGGACTGTTCAGGGAGGGATTACTTCTACTGCTGCCATGGGAAAAGGTAATTTTTTTTTTTTTTATTTATATATACTTACTAAAAAAAATTAATATGTGTTTATGCACTTAGAGGCTGTTTGGCTGAACTTATAAGATGTTGAAAAGAACTTATAAGCTCTTCCAAAGTGTTAGGTAATTTAAAAAAAAAAAAGATCTTATAATTTTTAAAAATAAGTTGTTTGAGAGCAATTAAGGTCTTTTTTTAGGAAGTAATTTAAAAAAAAAATAAGATGTAACAGCTAATATCAGTTGTGAAACATCTTATAAGATACGTATCGGCTGTTTAAAATAAGCTTATTTAAACAGGCTCTTAGTACCACTGTGTTGTATCAAATGTGAGCAAAAACCCTCTTATAATCTATCTTTTAGCACGCAATCCCCTGAACAACGAGTATTTTTGGGGTGGTTTGCTAAGAGAATTGAATTATTGGGGTTTTTTGCTAATAAAATAAAATGGGGTCTTTAAAAAAAATGGTTCTTTCATTGTTTAATTTTTTTGGTGGTTGAAGGGGTGACTGAGGAGCAGTTCCAGGTGACGTGGACAAGAGAAGGGGCAACAGATGTGGGAAGTGAAGGCAATGTTGTGATTGCAAAATCAAGAATGTAGGGAGGTTATCTTGGTGGGCATTCTTGATTTAGGGTTTTAATGGGAAATAATAAGTTTTTAAGAACTTGTTTTGTGGTGGTGTAATAAAAAGTTTCAGTTTCTGTAATGATTTCATCTGCATTGTTTGGTGTTGAAGAGATTGTGGGGTACTTGCATTGTACTTTGTTGTTCTCAAGTTCTTTTGTCACAAGGGAGAGAAAGATGTTGGTTTCCTTTCTTTCAGCTTCTTGACTTTTATATAAGAGAAGAAATATTATGATTTCTACTTTTTTACTACGAATATTTTTTGCTACGATAAAAAATCATAACAAAAGGTAATTTTTTCCATGGGACGATCTTGGGGTCGTAGAGAAAAACTATTTGCTACGGTCATTTACCGTAGCAAAATTTTTGTCACTCCCGTATATGCTACAGGGCAAATTCGTACCTTTTACTACAGTTAATGATCGTAGTATAAAGCAATTTTTCTACTGGTATATTTATCCTATGTATATAATCAAAGCAGTTTATATCAAATGTATACTGATGAAATGGTAAAAACTAAATTGCTGAGAAGTTCAATAAGGATAGGTGATCATATTGTTCATTATTATAAAAAAAAACAAAAATACTTGAAGGGAAAAAAATAAAAATAAATAATAAAAATAATAGAAAAAAGAAAATCAAAACAAAACTTGTTTGCCCTTGCTTGTTGAGCGCAGACCAGAAGATGAAGAAGATGGTGTAACAACAGACTGCATCAATGGCCTCCCCATATATTGCGCTGCTATCGACGAAACGTGATTGATCTGCACACAAACATTTAATTAACAAATAAAAATATAAATAATTATTCACAATATACTATTGGAATATTGTTTCTATTTTTTTCTTATTTAGTTATCATTTTTTAAAATTAATTTAGTTTAATTTCTTTAGATTAAAATTATATTATTATAATTAGTTTTTGAATAATTGGCGATTCTACGAATTCCTACTCGGAATTATTTTTGCATAATATAAAATGACAAGAAAATTAATCTAGTACTACTGCCAATTATGTAATAATTAATATTCTAACAATTTGTAATTTAAATAAAATAAAACATTGAAGAAATGAAAAATAATTAATAATCATATGTGAAAATATATATCCCACATTATACTCATTGAAAAAAAAAATACGATACAATTTTTATTAAGGGATCCATTTTGCGAAACTATCTATCATCAGCGAAGTTAGAAATTTAATGAAGACTAATATTTCAAATATTAATTACAAAATTATATAATCTAAGTTGAAGAAAATAAAAATTCAAAGGAAATTAAAATATGATGCACCATAAATATATAAACATATTTATAATGAATTGTATTTCATAGTTTTCCATCAAGGGTATAAATGTCTTTTCAAATTATATATAAGTTTTTCTATACAAGCAACATTTTTATTCTAACAGATATATAGTTGCACAAGTAACAGATATATAGTTGCACAACGAACGCACCCAATATAATATCCACAATATGCACCTAATTTTCAAATTAAAATTTTCAATAAATAAAAAATATATTAAAAAATATACTATTCGTGTATTCAATTTTTCATAAACATTATAGAAAATAAAAATAAAAAATCATGAATTACCTCGTCTCTCAAGCGAGCATTTTCAATTCTTAAGTTGCGTTCATCGTGCGACAGATCTCCCACCGCAACCATGTGACCGCACGTAAGACAACGCGCATCGCTAAGAGACTCTCTCAGCTTCAAGTTCACTTCTCGAAGCTTCTCATTTTCAGCTCGGAGGTGATTGTTTTCTTCGTGCCCATGTCTCGCCTGCAATTAATAATAAATAAAATCATGTAAAATCAAAAAATCAAATGAATTTTATAAAAAAAAAAAAAATTTGAACAAAATCATTTACAACAAACCTTCATTTGAGTCCTCTTATTTTGGAACCAAAATTTAACTTGCAATGGCTCCATGCCTAATTCATGGCCAAGTTCACTTCTTTGCCTCTTTCCCAAGAGAGGACTATCCCGAAAAGTTCTATAAAAAATAATTTAATTAGTAAAAAATAATTAATTAATTAATATAGAAAATGCAGAACAAGTTTATCAAATTTTGACTTGTTGAATTAATATATGAAGCAATTCTATTTAATTAAAAAAAAAACTATTTACTCTTCCAGTCGTTGAATTTGATGGACGGTGTGTCGGTGGTATGTTCTTCTATTCTGCTGTTGAGTTTCATTATTCTCGCCAATAAAGTTGTTATTTTCTTCGTTAAACATACTTTCCACTTCTTCACCTTGAGATTCGTTCGAATTCATACTGAAATATTAACTACGAAAACCCTAAAGAATACTAAAAATTTCTTGAAATGTTGTAAATATAGAGAAACGGAGACGACGGAGGGCGAATTTATTGCGAATTTCGAGTAGAGATTGTGCAATAACATTAATATTATCTTCTTCCTATTAAAAATCGGAAAAAAAATGAATACAAAAGGGTGATTAGTAGTATGGAAAATCTTCGTGATTTTATAGGACAATATATAAGAGAATCACCGATAAATAAAATGAATTAAATTCTAAATTTAACCTACACAAGTACACAAATTACGAATTGGCAAACCCGAAATTAAGTTTTGCTCTACAACGGCTCATTGTAATAATGTGCTTACCAAACAAAAAGAAAACGACAAAAGATTACGACGATATGTATGCCTCTAAAACGCAGGTACAATCATTACAAACGAAAGATTTAACATAATAATTAAATTGATATTATCGTAATAAATGGTTATGTCGCTAATGTAGATTTCTCCGATATGTGATAAATCAGCTGGCTAGATTTCAATATTTAAAACGAATAAATTCCGAATAAATTTATAATCACACGCACCAAAATATTGTGTTCACCGCACTTTTTTTTTTCCTCGAAGAAATTACGTTAATTTTTTTTAGCCATTCATTTATTTTATATTTTTCCCTTGAAAAAAAATCATCAAAAGGGTTTATATAAATAATTACACAAAAAAGAGTATATTATGTGCAACTTCAGTGCCTTTATTGAACAAACTATAGCAGTGCATGAATCGTGCAACTATATTATGCATGTCATGCACATAAAATTAATATAGTGCAAATTTTATTTTTTACAATATATATAATTAAAATAAATTAATATAATGAGGTCGTGAAAATTAATTTTGTGTCCCCTCTGATGAACAATATAAGTTTGTACCTAACTTCAGTGCATTTTTTTTTATTCAACTATTTAGTACGTAGATAGTGCATGAGCTCGTGCATGCATAGTGCAAATTTGTATCATGTGTACGTAAAAATAATTTATATATGTTTAGTTTGCATTATATTCGTCAAATAAATAGTATAATGAGCCGTGCGTAGAAATAATTGTTTTTAGCCCGATTTTGACATAACAAATATATAATTTATTGATTTTATTGTGTTGAAAATTTTGTTACCTATTGAATTTCAATTTTAATGGATTAAGGTACAACTTCTATTGTTGAACTTCGTAAATTAGAAAAGACAGATTTTTGTTACTACATTGTATAATTTCTTTATAATATTTATATATCATTATTATCTATATTATTTTTCTTCTATAGTTTAAGAATTATATAGGAAGCCGCCCCACAAAAAATAATCAATTTTTTTTGTTACTTTTTGAAATAATATTTTATAAATATGTGTTTTCCTATATATGAGTGAATTAAAAAAAAAAAAGTACACATTTTTTCTATAATCAAGCGTGGCTTGGAGTGGAAATAGGACGGAACGGATCGAAAATCGACTTGGAAATAAAATATTTTTTTAGGAAGCTAATATGAGTTCCAATTTCGGTTAAAAAAATTGGAATTCAATAATCTATTCCGAAATCGGGATGCCCCGAATCGGCAGAATTTCAGAATTTTCGGAAATTTCATTAATTATAAATTTATAATTTCTTGTTCCAAATAGGAATTCTTCCATGTACGGATTCTTCAACATCTTGTTGATTCCCAGTCGTTGCCCAGAGGCGATGGTTCCAGTCCACAGCTCGTGCAGCGAATCATTCAATGCTAGCTACGGAAGATAGAGCTTCGGATATGATGGGAAATCGGGATTTTGACTTTATTTTTTCGGACTTTTCCAGGAAAATGCACAAAAATCCAAAACAGAGTTCAAGAAAATGCAATACCAAAACCATCACTATTTAATATAACTCATACCAGAATAATTTAAAATTTAACAACAATACGTAACAGTAAACCATTACCACAAATATCTGGATACTCGCGATTCGCGAATACCCTCTACTATTTAATGTGTAGAAATCAAGAATAAAAATTAAAATTGAGAAACCCAATAAAGTAAGCATGATATATCAATTCATTGGTTTACTAAAACAATAAAAATTTATTCGAAAATAAAAATCGTCAAAAGATTACTTATTTGCCCTTGCTCTTGTTCTCACTAGAAACTGAAGCAGCTCTGGAATCCGTTGAACACAGAACAGAAGAAGACGAAGTAGAGGGACCGTCATCGTAATTTGTCAATGGCTTCCCAATATAATTCGCAGCCATTGTTGAAATAAGATTAATCTGTATATATAGAAAGAAGCATAGTTAATAAATAGAATAGAATAAAATAAAATAATCCTTCAAAATAATTATTGGTATATAAATAATGCCCAAAACAAATTAAAGAAAAACAAAAACTAGTCATTCAAATTTTCCATGGCTTTAGAGAATCAATTTTTTTTTTTATTATATCCCACTTTAAATTTTCAATGATACATTTAATAATGCTTTAATTCTTTTCATTTTTATTTAATAAAAATGTATTATTTCTTGTTGTACCCTTATAATCCAATTCTATCAAGTATTAGTCTTTCTTATGCGTCTTTTCCTAAGAGTTAACTATATTAAATTTAATATTTTTTTTTTATATATGTGTGTACAAATCTTTAAAGACAATATTATAAAACAGATGGAGTCATATTTAGTCTATCCAATTCAGATTCATTTTTTTTTAGTGAAATAATTTGTTGTCAAAAAGATATTATTATTACTTGGGGAAAAAATCAGTTTTCGTCCATCAAGTTTGCATCAGTTTCACATTTGGTCCATCGTGTTTATAGAAAACACATTCGGTCCTCCATATTTTAAAAATTCAATATTTTTAGTCAATTCCGTCAATTTCCGTTAAAACTAACGGTATCAAGCATGTACCCATCACTACCTTAACCGACGGACTAACGGTAAATTGACGGATGACCAAAACTGTTAATTTATCGAATCATGAAGGACCAAATGTGTTTTTTAAACATGGGTAACCCAATGTGAAATTGGTTGAAACTAGAGGGATCAAAACTGTATTTTTTTCCTTATTACTATGTTGTCACTATAATATTATCAAAAATCAGTTATGTGACAATAAAAAACTTCTAATGATAACAAAAATGGAACGCTATGCAATAACAATATAAAATATTATCGATCACTTAATATAAGCAATTAACGATTTTTTTCTAAAAGGTTTTTAATACGTTTACCTCTTCTCTCAGACGAGCGTTCTCCATTCTGAAATGGCGTTCACCATAGCACAAATCTCCGACCGAAACCATGCGACCGCAAACAAGACAACAAGCATTGTGGAAAGATTGTCTTAGTCTCAAGTTCTCTTCTCGAAGCTTCTTGTTTCTAGCTCGAAGAAAAGTACCTTCTTTGTGCTCGTTTTTCGCCTGCGAATAATTAGTTTTAAAGATTTTTTTTAATATAAGAACAAAGGGAAAAAAAATTATTACAATTTATGTACTAACAACCTTCATTTGAGTCCTCTTGTTTTGGAACCAAAACTTAACTTGCAAAGGTTCCATCCCTAATTCCTCACTAAGCTCATCTCTTTGTTTTTTGTCTAAGTGAGGATTGTCCCAAAAATACCTAAAAAAAATAAATTAATTCAATATTAGTGCAAAAATAAATAACACATAGATTTACACACAATAAAGTATTTTTTTCGTTATTGGTTAATTTTCATAGAAGCAATTCCGTTTAATTAGAAAAATTTACTCTTCCATTCGTTGAATTTGGTAGGGAGTGTGGCGGTGATGACGTCTTTGGTTCTGCGACTCAATTTCATTGTTCTCGTTTTCTTCGTTTAGAATACTTTGTGTATCTTCACCACTAGAAACGTTGGAGTTCATACTGAAATATCTAAGAGGAGACGAATACGAAGCAAATATTTCTTTAAGAATGTCAATATATAAGGTGAGGTCGAGAAAATATAATTAATGGTGCAATATTTTATAGCGAATTCCTTTCATTGCAGATGGTGAAAATTACATTAATAGAGTTGTCTTTATATTATAAATTGGAAAAAATATCATGGATGTTCCGTTCCGTTATAATTGTCGTTGAAGATTTTTACGAACATATTAAGAAAATAATTAAATATTGTTGAATTTTAGGAAACACGCACATATAAAGTTGGATTGATATGCGTACAACAGGAAAAAATGCATTTAATTCATTATATATCGTATCCGTAAACTGACAGATAGTCTGAAAATATTTGGGGCTCTAATGTTTATGGTGTTTATGAATATTAGATCTTCAAAATCTAATGCCTGAAAATAATAATCGATTGCATTCCGATTTTCAAATTTTTCGAAAATTAAAATTAATTGAAATCGGAAATATATATTATAATTATCTGAAACATCGATTTTTCTTACTCAAAATGTTCCAAAGATACCAATTTTCCCCAACATATATTTACCATATCTATTAATATTATTAAATATTTCTATGTCGTTTCTAAATTAAATGTACTTAAAATGAATGTATAAATTTGTTCTTAAATTATTAAGGGCTTTTTAGGAGAAAGTCAACATCGAAGACCGGTGGTCAAAATTGAATCATTGGTGAAATTAGAACGAAATTGAAGTTACATAGATGAAATTATAATAAATTAAAATTTGAGGGTATATTCTAGTCTTTTAAACACTTCTGAAACTTATTTATGAATAAGTACTCTGACATGCGCTTATTTGTAATCAACCCAATTATTGATAGCATAAAGAATTGAAACCCAACTTTTACCGGCCCATTAGTATGTTCTACACATCTGATAAAGGGCCCTATTTTGCTTTCTGGACTATATATTTTGTTTTAAACTTTTACTAATTTTGTAATATTTATAATGAAATTAAAATCGATATTGTAATTTGAGTCTTTCACTCTCTTGAAAAATGTTTATAATTAAATTAAGCAAAAACATTGTGGAGTTCTAAATGATTTTCATTTTTCTATTAAAAGGGGAGAGAGATGGGATTGAAAAATCTTTATATATAAAAATAAGAAATACTAGAATAATCTTAGAAACTCTTATGGTATATTTATATTTTTTGTAAAATTAATAATAATTATTATTTTTTATCTCCTATCTACCAGTTTTTTTCTTAAATACTTCCGTAACAAATCAGATTTGCAAATTCCCTAGCAAGATCCTAATCCGTTCAGATAATTTGTTTTTTTACTATTTCTCTCTTTCGTACACACACCGATGATGATTATTTTTTAGTGCAATTTAACTATCACATATTTAAATTTTCTTCATTTTTGCGATGCGATGCACGGGGAGAATTGCCAGTTGATGATAAATCTAAGATAAATACTGTAGAATCTCGATAAAGTAATACTCGATAAATTAATAACCTCGCTGAAATAGTAAATCCTTTCGATCCCAACTAGGTGAGAACGTGATAAATTATTAACTCGATAAATTAATATTCCGCTAAACTAATAGAATTTATCTAGTTCATACGGTATTAATTTATAGAGGTTTATCAGTAGTAAAATTGTGAAATTAGATGAATAAGAAGCTAAAAATGTGATAAGTTTGATAGTTTAGTGCATCAAAACCAAAAAAATGACAATTTTCATATTATTCAAGCATGCAAAAAATGATATTGTCCCAATGAAGGGTACAAAATTGTCATTTGCTTATTTCAACCTCAAATTGTCAAAAAAAAAAAAAACCGATCACTCGTTCGATGCGTTCGATGACTTCCCAAAATCTTTAGTATCCGAGTGTTTCAACGGCTTTCCGACATACTTCACTGCTATTGCCGAAATACGGCTAATCTATATACATATAAACAAGATGTTATTAAAATAATAAAAATACTAACTAATTTATTTATAAAAAAATATATATATAAAAACAAAATGTATTATTTGATGAATTAATTACCTCTTCTCTCAAATGAGCATTCTCCATTCTTAAATGGTGTTCATCAGGGGACAATTCTCCAATGGCAGACATGTGACCACAAGCAGGACAACACACAGTGCTCAGTGCTTCTTTATACCTTATATTCGCAGCTCGGAGTTTATCATTCTCCACTCGAAGAAGAGCGTTTTCTTGGTGCTCGTGTTTCGCCTATAAAATAATTAAGTTTTGACGTTTAATTTATACGATGATTCTTTTAGGGTTTCGAAACTATAAATATAATTTAAATAATCATACCTTCATTTGTGTTCTCTTGTTTTGGAACCAAAACTTAACCTGCAACGGTTCGATTCCTAGTTCCTTGCTAAGCTCGTTTCTTTGCTTTTTGTCCGGGTGAGGACAGTTTCGGAAAAACCTACAATCAGTTAATAAAATTAAATTCAAAATCAGAAAAATATAAATTAAATTAAACTACACAATAATTTTTTTATATAATCAAGATTTTGTTCGATTTTATATTATTACGCTTCCATTTGTTGAGTTTGATGCGTAGTGTGGCGATAGTAACGTTTTCTTTTCTGCTGTCGACTTTCGACATCTTCAATTTCGTTCATATGCGATTCATCTTCTTGCGACATGCTCGAGTTCATCGCGGATAGTTCCCTGTGGCAAAAATATGATAATATAAAATATAATAAAAAAACTTTAATTTAATTTGAAAATTATTTTGTTTAAGGACTAAAATGATCCTAAAAAAAATTAAAATCGCTTTTGAATTGAATTTCGTGTTGAATTAAAAGACGTGATTTCCGTACTTCTTCGTTTATATAGTAGTTTATTAAAAATAAATTTAATTTGGTTGATTAACTTCTTGCAAAATTAATAAGGATGAATAAAAACTTACTAAAACATAAAGCTTTTATGATGACTTCAAAATGTTTTCTTGATTGAGAAAATAATTATAATGAAAAATCAAGTGTAAGGAATTTATTTAAAACAATGACTATAAATGGTGCAATTGCATTAATATAGTTGTCTTTGTATTGTAAGATGGAAAATAAGAGTATGGTTCTATTAGATATGAAAATCTATTAGGTTTTATATAAATTTGAAATTGACAAAAATTGATTTATTGATATTTGGTGCTAATAATTCACTTACCAAACTAAAAGAAAACGATAGATTTACCACGATAGTCGTACGCATACGAAATGCAAAAATTAGCGTCGTCATATACATACAAATAAATTTGTAAAGTTGTGATAAATGGTGTATGACTTTGTATATTTTGAGCATCTAAAATGTCGTACATCTTTAAATCTATAATAGTTACAATATTTAAGGATGTTCGATTTTTTAAATATATAATGTCGTACATCTTTAAATCTATAATATTTACGATATTTAAGGATGTTCGATTTCTTAAATCTATAATGCCGTACATCTTTAAATGTATAATATTTACGCTATTTAACGATGTTCGTTTCTTAAATGCATAATGCCGTACATCTTTCATTACATTATTAAAAGAATTGCATTTTTTTTTTAATTATTCTAAAAGATACATGTTCCTAAACTAATCTATGTTGAATTTAAAAAAGAAAATCTATTTAAATGTGTAAATGCCATATATATATACACACACACACCTATATATGGCTATATATATATATATATATATATATATATATATATATATATATATATCAATGTTTAATTAGTCACATGGATTCACCAGGGTTAAGCATTCGACAGCATAAGAGATGGATCAATATATGTAATAAATAATTATTATTCATTAATTCTTATAACAACAATTCATATGATGTACATTAGTGCAAAATTGCCTCTATATTATTGTAATAATGCATCCGTTTAATTATAGTAATGATCCGTCGACGAACAATTCGATCGATTCAACCAGCAAAATTGATAGATGACGCACCATCATCCGAATTTGAAGAGGTAGAAATGTTAGGCTATATATATAATAATATTAATATTAATATTAATAGTAATATTAATATTAATTGTCTAAATGTCTGAATTTCTGATTATGGCTTTTGTCCCTCTCAAAAACCATTACTGATTTGCATCACGAATCCTTGAATTACTGCTTAGCCTGCATAAAAATATTAAAAGACAGAAATTGAATCATTAGTTAGAGAAGAAATTCAAAATTGTTTTCGTTAGGGATGATTATAAGTTTAAAAAATTACAAATTAATGGATAACAAGTACTACTTTCATAATTGAGATACGAAACCGGATCGAATCGAAATGGATCGAAATTAGCAAATTCCCAATGGTTAATAACAAACCGATCGAACTTTTAAAATTTTGCAAATTCCATCTCAACAAATGCTTTGAAAATTTTGTAATTTCAAAACTATGTCACCTTTAAAAAAAGTGATTTTTTTATAATATTAACATTATAAATGCAGTTTTGTGTTTTTTTAAACTAAAAAAAAAACTCTCAAATCACTTTCAGAAATTAATACCGGTCGGAATGTCAAAAATTAATTACGAGCATTATTTATAACTCCCGCAGAAAAAAAGAAAATTGACAAAAATGAAAAATCGGAATGAATAAAATATTTTCACATCGAAATTTTTATATGGAAATCCAGAAATCTCAAAAAAATATTTTGTTATATCCACCAAAATAAAATAAAATAAAATAAAAATTAGCATGCATGTGACAAGTGGGGTAAAAAAAGTGATGGCAAAAGAAAGACAACATGTGACAAGTTGTAATATTCACATGTGATAAGATTTTATCATACAAGATTGTATCTTGTCCTAAATTCTACATGTAGCTTACATTTTAAAAAAAATAAAAAAATTGAATAGTGGAAATTAAAAAAAAAAAAAAAAAGGTGATATATAATATAAAAAAGAAAGAAAATACCTGAGAATAAAGGAAGGTTCCAGAAATAGCAATGGCAGCACCAAGAGCATTGATTGGTTGAAGAGGAGTTTGAAAGATGATAATAGATACAACTATTACAGATATTCTCTTCATTGTATTTCCAATGCTAAATGTCAATGGTGATATCTCATTTAGTGACATATATGATACTTGATTGTATAAGTGGTAAAATACACTCTGCGCCACCACCCACCTATTATTTATTTATTCAATTAATCAAAAATCAATAATTAGAAAATTAATAAAATAGTGTCAAAAAAAAAAAAAGATTTTGCAATCTAGTTGACTGACACAAGCCATGTCCATAATCTTATTTAATTTACTTTATGGGCGATGTATGTATTATTTATAAACTTATATTTTTATATAAAAATAATACTAAGGGTCGCTGTGTATAACGATCTCGACTTAAAAAGTATTGTCTACAGAGTTCGAACTCATATACAGTTAAATCTTTATAAACTAATATAGTCGAGATTAGTAAATCTATTAATTTAGCGAAATATTAAATTATTGAGTTAATGCTTTAGTACATTTTTGCCATCTTGGCCATTTCCGTCAATTTTCCATTAGTACTAACAGAACCAAGCATGTGCCGATCGCTACTTTCACTGACGGACTAACAGTAAATTGACGAAAATGACCAAAAGTGTTAAACTACTGAAACATGAGAGACCAACTGTATTTTTTTGTGAACACGAGGGACCAAATGAGAAATTAGTGCGAGACTTGATGGGTGAAAACTGTGTTTTTTCCGAAAACAAAAATCAATTAGAATGTGAATTACCATATGAAATTTGGTCCAATTTGAGAGAGAGCATTTTGCCAACCAACAGCCCACAACTGGGGACCCTCCACAGCTATAGCAAATGGTGTAACTATCAATAGAGACAACATTGAGAGACAAGCATAGTAATTCATCCCTCCAACTGATTTCCCTTTCATCATTCCTCTCTTTGAAAATATATTCCTAAATACAAATGCCAAGTTTGACACCATTGCCCCCATAAAACCTGCAATTAAAATTATATTAATATTTTTCGTGTAACGCTCAATCGCGCACGTACGTGTACATACGTTTAATTTTATTAGAGTAGTAATTTTTTTTTTGTAATTACCGGTGAGGTTGAAATTGAGCTCGGTGGCTGCGGAAAGAGCGCAACCTCCGATTATAGGCAACAACGAAAGATAAACCGACAATGGAAAAGTTTCTCCCATTAGGAATCTGGACACTAATACGGTGAATGCCGGTTCGCCGCTCTTGATGATGTGCGTGAATGAAACGGCAACCTTCGACATGCTGACTGTAGCCGCCACATGCCCGATGGTGTGCGCTACGGCAACCTATATAAATTAAATTAGTCTTATGATTAATTAAATTATTTGGTCTTATATGATTTTTGGTTATAACTTATAAGTACAATAATTTTTCGAATCGGCCCTCAACTACAAAGAAATGAGCTCTTAAATGATTAGATTTATTTAAAATAATTAGATTTTATTTCAATATTTGTTTAGTATAATAAATTTTCGGACCCGTCAAAAAAATTAGCTCGTACCACCATTTTGCCATAACTTATACAGAACGTCTAGTAGCCCCAGATTATTTGTCACTTTAGAATGTCAATCATGCATTAATTAGATTTTTTCAAATTTTTATCACTCTTAATAAATTGAAGAACAATTAGCTGTTAAAATAATGAGATTAAGAGGGTGTTTGGCTAAGCTTATAAGATGTTAAAAAGAGCTTATAAGATGTTTTAGAGCTTATAAGTTCTTCCAAAGTGTTTGGTAAATTTTTAAAAAAAGATCTTATTTTTTTTAAAATAAGCTGTTAGAGACGAAATAAGATCTTTTTAAATAAGTACCTCTACCCCACCTTTTTATTTAAGATCTTATAATGAGTAAAAATAGGAAATAAACTCATTATCCAAACACTCTAAAAATAAGATGTAACAGCTTATCAGCTCTAAAAACATCTTATCAGACGTAAGAGCTTATCAGCTGTTTAAAATAAGCTTAGCCAAACACCCTCTAAATTCTGAGCGGATCAGCCGATATTTAATATAAATCGGATTCCACTAATTTTTTGACATATGACAATCTTAAGTCTTAACTCTTAATAAATCACGCCAATTATAATTAGGGTAGAGGGGTTATGAGTTCTGCTGGGTTTTTTTTTTTTTTCATTACTAGAATCCTAATTATATTTTTTTAAACTATCCACGTGTCAATCATCCTATGACATCCGATGTTCCTACTAAAACAGACCATCTGGTCTAAATTTGCACCCTAAAATAATTAATAACAAGGGTATTTTCGTAATTTAGTATATTATTTTATTTAATTCATTCATATTTATATGTTCTTTTAATATATGCGCAACAATCCAAAACGAAATGTATTAATAAAGTACTTACGGGAAGAAGATTTTTCCAGAACTGCAAATCGGTTTCGGGCGGCTGAGCAATATTCGTCGCCCAAGAAACGAGCATAATAAGTGAGCCCGCGGCAAGCGAGAGGGTCGAAGTGAGCCAAGGGAAAGGAAACGCATTCAAAACTTTCTTGTTATATATATTGAACACCACATTCAAAGCCCACCACGTGGCGAAGTAAACCCCGATCTTCGCCTTCTGCGCAGCTTCCTCCCGGTCGAACCCGATGCTGATCGGGACAACGGGCTGCGACCGACCCGCTTCGTAGGCGTTGCACCGCATCGAAAACGGGTCACGGGTTCGGGCCGGCCCGAATCCGGTGGCGGAAGAAATGTACAACGGCTTGTGTTGGGGTAGTAGGTAATTTTTCTTGCAAGGGTTTAAGGTTGGGAAATTGTGGGGTTTTAGGAGGGTCGAAATCGTCTTTTTGGGAAAGTTTTCGGCGAATTTCGGTCCGGTTGCGTAGGTTTGGTTTGCTGAGAAAGCCATAACTTTTTTTTTTTCTTACAAGACTAGTAAGTAGTAAGTAACGCTGAAATTGAAATGTTTAGTATATAGTATATATGGGAATGTTTGTGTTTAGTATTTATAGATGGGTACATATAAAAATATATTAATAAATAATTATTTTACCGGAGGGTGGGACCCACCGTGCTGCAGTGGCTGACCTCTCGAACCGGTTGGGGTTGGGTTATTGGGTGTTTTGTGTTATTTGTTAGCTGTCTGTAAGCAGGTCGGAAAAGGCAACTAAAGAGAAAGAAAGGGTGAATTGTGTGCATGCATATTATTAGCATGGGGGGTTTGAATTTCTTCGAATATTCCTTCAAGAGTTTGCGGAATTCCTTTTTTTCTTTCTTTATTTTTTATGTATATATCTACGTAGCACGGATACGGAGAAACAGGAAAACAAATACAGGGAAACGGCATGTCAAAACGTAGGGGTACCGAAGTTTGGGGGAAACATGTAATAAATATTAAAATTATAGGGGTTTATTTATAAATATGCTATATATATAAACATATATAAGTTTTTATTTATATGTAAATTCTTTTTATATATTTTCATACAAACATATTCAAAATAAATTTTAGGGAAAAATACAGTTTTCGTACATCAAGTTTGCACTGATTTCATATTTAATCCTCGATGTTCCTAAAAAAACACATTTGGTCCCTCATATTTTAAAAATTCAACGCTTTTAGTTATTTCCGTCAATTTTTCGTTAGTAATAACGGAATCAAGCTTGTGTCCATCATTGCATTAGCTGACGAATTAACAGTAAATTGACGAAAATGACCAAAAGTGTTCAATTATTGTAATATGAGAGACCAAATTAGTTTTTTGTGAACATGGAGGACCAAATGTGAAATCGGTGCAAACTTGATTGGTGTAAACTGTAATTTTTCATAAATTTTACCATCAACTATCAATTTGCCATTGATCATTAAATCGTGCAATAATTAGTGGAAGCAACATAAATATTTGAAAATTTGCTATTCAAACATGTTTCTAAATTTTTTAGAAATTGCAAAATGACTCATATGGTGTCCGACAAAAATATTTGAAAATTTGATATTCAAACATGTTTCTAATTTTTTTAGAAATTGCAAAATGGCCCATAATGAGTCCACCAGGTACCCTCGAGGAGTGTCCAACACAAAACGTGTCGAAAACTCAGGAACGTTAAGAATATGAAGTTTCCGTGCTACAATATATATATATATATATATATATATATATATATATATATATATATATATATATAATTTATATTCTCGGGACAAAAGCAGATAAGAAACGCTCACACTAACTTTCTTTAGCAGAGCGTGAGACGTGCCTGTTCCGAGATACTTCACGCTAACATTTTGAACTGTTCCGCGAGAGAAAATATATATCTTCAATATACGCTTCGTGATAAAAAAAATTCTATATATTATATGTGCAATTATGTAAGAGAAAAAGGATTTTTTAA